AATCATGTTTAACAGTAACATTGAAATTTGGAAAAATGCGGCACATGGAGCGGGTCCATGGACCCAGTCCATAGAGGGGGTCCAAGGACCCGGTCCATAGAGGGGTCCATGGCCCAGTCCAGACAAGGGGTCCATGCACCGGGGGTCCATGTTTTGTACTTTCCCCATTTGAAGTAAGAGTATTTTTCAGGGAGGTCGCGTAATTTTGAAAACGAGTGTATATATAAATTTGCGAGAAATATGCGAATTGAGCACTATAATCGAATAGCGATTTTTAGAAACTTCCTCGTACGACAACAATAAAAGTTGAGAAATTTAAATTTATTGTAATTTATATGCACAACACTACCTTTGATGTTTTGATAGCCTGCGAGAGTTTCCCCGTTTAATAAAACAAATATTTGAAAGGTAAATTCGATTTGACAGTATTCATTTCATATTTCTCGCAAATTTGTAGACACCTTTATTTAATACGCCCTCTTCCCCACGAACACAAAATAAACGAATTAACTCTATTTTCGTCTAATTATGATTAACACTAAATGGTATATCTGCTATAATAAGAGCTATACCTATACGGGCATACAACTATTTACATGAAACGGCCACATTTGGAGCACGAGTTTCCTCGACAATAGTGGCACAAAGTCCCACATGATTGAGCGTGTTCCTAAGATTGAACGCTGTTTATTCAAAACAATAAATAAATAATAGTAATTTCTACCAACCTTAGGTCCAGGATATGATTATTCCTTGACCGACCTATTATCCGCAATTCCCGTCAAAACTCTCACGACTGAGTGCAATTCCCGCCAAAACCTTTACGACTGAGTCACATCGATGTTTGTCAGGAAATGAGTCCGCCTTTTACAAATTGCAGCCCGCGGTTTGTAAAACACGGACTCAGTCCGCGTTTTACAAATCTTAGTTCGTGATTTGTAAAACACGGACTCAGTCCGTGTTTTCTCGGTCCAGTCCAGTCCAGTCCGTGTTTTACAAATTCAGTCCGCGATTTGTAAAACACGGACTCAGTCCGCGTTTTCCCGGTCCAGTCCAGTCCAGTCCGGTCCAGTCCAGTCCAGTCCAGTCCGTCTTTTACAACATGCCGTTTAGTAAAAGGTTTTACTAAACCTCTCGAGGCTTGAGGGACATTTCATCACTAATCGACCGTAATGCCATGCTATTACTTTGTAATATCATAGTTGCCGAGGGAATCGCGCGTGGTGTGTTGCCTGTTTTGAATGATTGTCTTATGTTTGATTGTCTTATGATTGTGGTACGAACACTTTTCATATATACGCACGCGCAGAAACACATCTCCGTGTTCATTCGTTTTAGGCATGCACATAAACGGAATTTTCTCCCACAATTGTAATGTTCAAGATTAGGGAATAAAAGCTGGCAAAGTGATTGTTCGAATGTGTACGGGACGGTGTCGTCAGATACTGCCCATAGTTGTGCCGATGATTTTCGATGAGGTACAGCTCTCCAATCAGAGGTAATGAGGTACGCTTTTGTCTTCTAAATTTCCCTCATCAACATGCAGGGGAAAATTAGAAGACAAAGAAATCCTTTGTTTTCAACTAAATTTACCGGGTAAATTTAGAAGACAAAGCGTATGCATGGGTAATGAGGTAAATTAGTGATTAATCGTACCTCGCGAGACAAAGGATTTCGAGGCAACTATGATATTACATTATTAACTGTGTTTATCCTAACGCATGCACCCTGTCAAGCCGGGAGAAAACCCACGACTTTCGGTAGAGCGTTGACTGTCTATTTTTACATGAGTAGGCAACGAGAGAATCGAACCCACGGCCACGATCTCATACGTGAAAGATATGCCTTATTTATACACCGGCCTATATAGGTTGGGCCGGAGTTAAACCGCGCTGTTTTGTAGGTGCATGGGTTTGTTTTAAAAATAAGAGAATACTAGAACTTTTATTAATTTTTCTTCTAAAATTTTCACCTTTCTTCATATTATTTAATTTAGATTATTCTAAAAATTCTAGGATTATACAAAGGTGCAGTAAAAAATTCTTAATATTTGCAACGTTTCGGACAGTTTTACTGCCCGTCTTCAGCCAGTTTAGGCTTGTATAGTAGTTATCTAACATACGGATTACGGCCCTCGTAATATTACAATATTCAAACATATAACAGGGTAAAATTACTATATTATATATACATATAAGAGACAACATTACAATTAGGCCTTTATATATATGGAGCTCATTATAGGAAAGCAACGTTTTTGTGACTTTGTCAACACGGATTGCCGAAGGGTGGACTGGAAAAAACAACTGTGTTTGTGAATTGTGTCAGTTTGCATGTGGTAATTGGGGAGGGAGATGGATTTTAATAAATGTTTGCAATAATTTGGATTGTCCACTGATGATCTAAAACCACAAGTGTGAAGTGTCTCCGAACAACTTTTGAAAATAATTGTAGCTTCAACACGTACGACAGACCATAACTCGTTAGATTTTTAAGGCTTTTTTGTTTCCTTGCACGAGTGCCAGGATGCAAAATGCCGCCAAAATTACTTATACTAATTTTCGCGTGACGTCCGTGTTGAGTGAAAAACGTCGCTGCTTAAGGTCATTTTATAAAAAAATAAAGATACTATACGAGACTTGTATTTTGCATAATTTTTAAGATAAGAGAATCTGAGGAGTACCATGATCAAAGGCATTAAAAATTAATGATGCATGGAAGCACTATAAAGAATTGTTCTTTCACCTGGAATCAGTACGTGGGAAAGGCAGTCGAAGGTCGTGTGCAACTGTATTTATACATTAGCGGTGCTTTTTCGCTATATTGCACTTTCTATTATTTTGGCGCCATTAGATTGACATTTTTAGCAACAACTTTTGAAATATTGGCTTCGTTTAAAGGGCGTCTTTTTTCACATAGTCAAGTGGAATTTCTGCAGCAAATACTTTAAACGTTACAATTAATCCACAATTTTGAACTTAATCAAAACATCTTTATACTGCTCCTTCCATGAGAGTTAAAAATATATAAAATTCACATTGTCACGAGAACGTTTTACTGCACTATATATCGCGTTTCAAAAGAGCATCAAGTGCCGGTATTCCAACACTTTTAGCTCTTTTTGATTAAAGTGAAGCCGCGAAACCAGAAATTCTCATATTGAGATATTTTGGACGCTCTCTCTCTCTTGACGTTTAAAATATTTATTTCACAAGCCTTCGACTGGCCAGTTTGCAGTCTTCAACAGTTATAAGTTACAATGAGATGAATTACAACAGTTTTTACAATTACATTATACGGATACCAAACATAGTGTGACAGTTCCGCTTATACAAATATGATTAGGTAGCATTTTAAAATTAGGGACGGGCCATTACAAAAAGGTGAAGAGGAAGGGGTTCTGCAATGCAAGGAATGTTTACAGTTCACTTGATGTTTTTTCCTCGTGTTGAGATATTTTTCTGCCACCTTCTGGCTATACGAGATTTTTTTCGTAAAGGTTCTTTCCCAACGCCCACCTTCACATTTCTAATCCTTAAGACCTGATTGAAAGTTGCTTAAAATTAAACAGCGATATCATTCTGGGAAATACTCTGAATTATTGTCAGCATTTTTTGTTTTAGCAATGTGCCCTGATTCCATGTAAAGTTGATCTCAGCCGAAGTCAACAAAGTCAGGTTGACAAAGGGGACGGTCAGTAGAGATAACACAAGAAATGCCGACAACAATTCAAAACGTTTCCCAGACCAATATCACTTTAATTTAATACTGAAGAAGCTTTCACGGCATAATTTTAAAATGTTACGAACCTATTGTCATTAATCATATTTGTAGGCGGAACTGTCACCTTTCCATGTCACTCCTTTGTACTGTGTTCGTCTATATATAGCCGTAAACTGTTATAATTCATCTCATTGTAACTTACCCGTTGCAAACTGCAGACTGGTAGTCAAAAGTTCGTGAAAATATTTTAAATCAGAGTGCGTCCAAAATTTTAGCTCTATTGCCGCGGTAATAATACCAACACCTGTTTCTACGACTAAAGTGGCGGATCGTTTTCTTTTTCGAATCAGGAATCAAGAAATGGCAAAACTTTTGAGATTAGTTATTGTCACTCTACTTCTTGGCATTGTATTCAGTAAGGATTCCATTCCTTTTCCAGGTAATCTTAAATATCGTGTAATTTAATTTCTCGGAGTTTAAATAAATTTTAAAAGGCCAAAACGATTCTTTTTCAGTCCCTTCACCTCTTTTGTTTCAAGAGCTAAGGGCTTTGGTTTAGTTTTTGGCCCTTTCGTTCTTTAGATTGGGGTCCTTTTGCGACCTTTCAAGGGTCCTTTTGGCCCTGTTTAATTAACAGTATAAAGTTACTGTATCGCCAGCTTTATGCGATTTCCGAGTTCAAGTGTCTCTGAGAGCAAGAAAAACTAGTGTAATTAATGCATTGTATTTAATTATGATGGTAGAATGTATTCAAAAAGTGTGAACAATCCTGTCCGAAATTTGTGGCACTGCACAAAAGAGAACAGTTATTGTCAGACAATACTTTTCTAATTCCAGGCGGTGATACAGCGTTTCACAAATGGTTAAATGAAATATACACCAGAACCCAAATCGATCCTACAACAATGAAGCGGGTGACTGACTACGTAACAAAGCAGATCAAGTTGATAACAGATGAAGTAAAAAAGCTTGACAACTGTTTTGATTTTGTTCAACTGCGTGGCTCAGCTGCAGAAGATCTAAAGATTCTCCAGCCGGATGAATATGATTTTGTTCTTTACAACGAAAAGTGGACGAAGATTATCGACTACAACGAAGATAAGAAGACGCCCGGGTTTGCGTTCGCGATTGAGGAGAAAACAACCTGCCTTGACAAGTACGTTAACACAAGCGAAGTATTTATTAGTAGTATTTAAAGTATAAGTTGGATCAAGTAAGTGTATAAGTTATCTATACAGTGAAAAGGAGTATCCAGGTCATGCAGGGTAAATTGATTCTTCTACATTTGATGAATGAGACGAAACAAGCCTGTCCATGAGGTTATTAATAGGGTCCTTTTTTTCAGCGAGTGGTGCAGGTCATGAAATTTTTAAAACAGATGTATAACATAACTGTGGTGTTAAAGTTACTACATTTTAAACATTACAGTAGATTAATAATATGCAAGCGATATTTAAGACTGAAAATGGTTTTAAATATCACTTTTCAGAGTTTATTATATCATGAAACGCATTTATTTGGTACTCTAGAAATCACCGCCAAGCCTTCACTCTTATTTCCATTATTCCATAATTATTAAATGCGTACCAAATAAGAACCTTTTCCAAATTTCGGACTGAATTTGTTCTTACGAAAAATGGGTCTCTAAACGGAACATTTCGTAGGCTGCAGCATTTTAATCCAAAAGGTTTTCTGGAATTTTATGTAATTGAAAACGAGACGAACATTGCGGACAAACGCCAACCGCATGCGCGAGACTACACAGATGGCGGGGAAATGTCTGCCAAAACAATAGGAGTATAAACAGAAATAGGAAAGCCTAAGGAAACGGCTAGAGGTTTAAGATACCGCATCTTTCTTGTGACAAGACAAAGTCATATCGAGTCTAATCCTCTCGATTATTGAATGGGTGCATGGGTAGCTCTATTGTGACTTTAAGTGAACAGAAATGATGCCGTATGGTTGAATACTTTGATATGCATATTTTATAAATCTTCCAGTCTCAGCCGATTCAGGAACGCGTCATTTGGATGAGCAATCGACACTCCAAATCGGTGTATCCCTTCTAGTCCAATTTAAGGATTTGATTTCATGCTCATGAATCATTAATTAGATCCGGTCCTCGGACTGAACTAATTCTAATCTAGTCCTAGGACTGTATCATCACGCTTTAAATTGACAGGTATATCCCGTATCATCGTGAGAGCAATATGGGGAGGCGGGGAGGAAAAATAACGTCTCCCTACCTTCTATCGCCCCACCCCCACCCCCGCTAGCTAAATAAAGCAATATGGTTAGCTGATTTACTTAAGAATTATCAATTACTTTCAAGTTCGGAAGTAATTTACATACAAGCTATTTGAAATGGAGCTACTCTGAGTGAGTCCATATACCAGTAGGCAAGCTGAAATTTTTGCTTCACCGCGATGAGAACTGCATGAATCGGCGATATTAGGCTATGACAAGCAGTGATCAAGGAAAATTTTCACCTTGCTCGGTGTGGACACACTCAGAGTAGCTTGATCACAAATACATCATGTCTTAACAGGTATAAACTCAAAGACCCCAAAAATGGAGTCGATCCAGCCAAAGTGAGAGCTCATATGCTAGAGATCGTGACAACAGCTTTGGCGAAAGTAGGAATTAAAACAAAGGCTATGCCGGTCGGTCCTTCTATTAATTTCCAAATACCATCCCAAGAAAAGTCGTTCAAGTATATCGACATCGATTTGGTCTTATACATCAAGCAGAATGATTGGCCAAAGAGTGCTGATCCAAAAATAGACCCCACATTGAAGGCAGTGGGTGTTGGACTTGTCGCAAAAGTACTCGAACCACCTCAAGACAGCAGACTTTGGCAAATTTCGTTCTCCGCTGCGGAAATAAAGCTTTTCCAAGGCATCGACGCAGACGGAGGGTCCCGAAAGAAGTTGTTGAAAATCGCGAAGTACTTGAAGATAGCTAGCGAGTGGCCTGAAAACATCGCCTCGTATCACTTGAAAACCGAGATAATGAAGATGAACCGTGACCATCCAAACAAAGATGACTGGATCGACTCCAAACTCGTTCCTCGCTTTAACGAATTGATCTTAAATTTCCTTAAAGCACTTGAAGCAGGCAAATTACCAAGTTTTTTCATTCCTACCTTCAACCTGTTCCAAGGTAAAGATCTCGGTACGGCCATCGAAAGAGTGAAGAATTTGATCAGTGCAATCGAGACCAACCCTGATTCATGTTTCCCACCAGCACGCGCGCCCTGTGCTCCCTCCGGTGGTCTGCCTCCGAAATTACCATTGATTACTAAATTAAAGAAGTTGGCCTCTTTTAAACCAACGAGCGAGAATGAAATTGAGATTGTACCGTTCAAAGAAAACAATTTGTGATGTTATTGCAAATAATTATTCAAAGAAATAAATCTTTTTCCCTGCTTTAGTCTGTGTAATTCTGTTAAAGTTAGTGTAAAACGAAAAATATTGTCCTATCCATATATAGAATAAAATCTCTATCCGAAAGTCCATATCCATTAGTGTGGCAATATCGTCACTGCAAATACAAGAGTCTTTCTAATTCCTTCAAGAGAAAGGTCTATTCATATAGGTACGAGGTGATCCTTATTTTTGTATATCTATAACACAAATTTTGAAAAACCGAACACGAATCAAATCGTTTTAAGGTGGCTCCCTACAGCTCTCTAAAATTTTAAGTGTTTTAGGTAACCTTCACTTTAAAGAAAACTTATATTGAACACACTTAAGGCAGGGCAATATGATCATTTCCAGGAATGTGAATTCATAAGCCTTGTGCAGTCAATACATTAACAACTAGAAGTTACTATCGCAAAGGAAAGTGCTGCCTCATGCCAAAGGGATCAAAGGCAGCATGCGCAATTTTCTGAATAAGGGGCTGTTTTTATGATCCCGCTTTGTCAGGACGAGATATGAGGCGAGAAAGGCACGATGATTTCGATGTATTGAAATAAGCTAACGGTGCACAATTCAGCAAAAAACTTCATTATTTTCTAGAGATAGATTTATACCCGGCGTACTTAATCGATAAAAACCGATCATCGAAAATCCAATCGATGGTAATCGATGTTAATTACTTAATTGATATCAATTCACATTGATCAACCGATGACCAATCGATAGTCACAAAAAATTATAGCCAATTTTATCGATATTCATCGATTTTCATCGATATTTATCGATTTTTATCGACAAAATGCTTTCGATTTTTATCGATTTATATCCTAAATAATCGCCGCGTGTCGACGTGTTCGAGCTAAATGGTAAATCTGGTCTTATTTTTTGAATGTACACATGATCTTCTCTACAATATTTAAGTTCTGTTAACAAGCATTTAAACTTTTGTTTAACCTGGTGACTTATTTCAATACATCAAAAATCATCCCACCTTCCATAATGTAAACAGCCCAGGAAGTAGGAAAAGTGCAATTTGAATACCAAACACCTTGCACAAGGTCAAAGGTCAGCTAAATATTCTAATTCTACTTTCTTGGCATGGACAGTTATACATATATGAATACCTTCAATGCTTATAAGTTCTTGCTTTTGTATTTATAATTATAATACCGCAGTCAGTGGTGTAGTTAGCCCACTGATCTATGATCTATTTGATCAGTGAGCTAGCCATACCAACAGGTCATGCTACAGTATGCAAGTTTTTCATGATTTGTATTATTCAACTATTTGAATATTTTGTATTTATAATTATAATACTGTCAGTGGTGAAGCTAGCCCACTGATCTATTAAATCAGTGAGCTAGCCATACCAACAGGTCATGCCACAGTATGCAAGTTTTTAATGATTTGCATTATTCAAATAGATCCAGGTTTATAGCTGTGCCATGACCAGTTGCCATTGTAGCTAGCTTGCCACTGAATACTGTACAACATCATATTATATATAAACAATAATAATACTTGAATGAATCATTGGACATGTAGAATTTAATAACAATTTCATATACAGAAATATTAAGTCCGGTTTTGACCCAACTATTGTTTTAATGGCACCTTAAAGGATTAGTGTCAGGGTCATGTATTGCGGGCTTTTGTTATTGTTTACATATTACTTAAATACAACAAATAGCGATAAAAATACCTTGTTTGGTACATTTCTGATAAAAATCACACAAAAAGAGCAAGTATTATAAAAGAGTGGTTTAAATATATGACAAATTGTAAAAAACGTCCCAGATCATCAGCCTATTCGTCCCGAAAAATGGCCGCCAGCAGGAGTTTGAGCCCACAAATTCCCGGTGTGACACTAATCCTTTAAAAGTAATCTGCGATCAGGCCTATAAATAAATAAATAGGCCTGATACAAACCTTAACAAAAGATCATGCCTTACAATTGTATTTCGGGTGTAAATCTTATTGGTCTATGAGACAAAAAGATTTTTTAATCTGTCATTTGATTGGTTGGTGCTAATTATATTAGATTATAAAAATAAATTGTTGTTTATAGTGATCACAACTATAATTAGATTGTTGTTGTCCTTGTGTGAAATTTAAATTTTTCCTGCGAAATTTTGATTGTATAATAAATATAAACTTTGCTGCACATGGGTGGAAAACTATTGGATTAAGGTTTGTGTCAGGGTAAATTTGAGAAATAGAGCCTGATCTCAGGTTACCCTCAAAGCTACCCACACTACCATAGGAAGCAATGTTGTATTGGGGGGCTGATTAGTCTGGGGTGATTATTACTAGTTCACAAATTACTGTATTGTTGCTACGACCCTGACCCCTAAATTGCAAAACAACTGAACCATCTGCTGATGCTTGATGGGGAGACAAAATCTGTTTGTTGACAGTTTTGTTTCATACGTCAGCTTCTGATGACATCATTCATTTGTAATGATTAAGATTGTACTCAGTCAGTACTGCAAAACTATATAATACAAGAAATTGTGAGCATTATAAAAAATATAGTATACCCTGAAAGTTCTGTAGTGACAGCCAGGTGAATGTATTATGCTAACAAGTAGCAATGCGGACATCCATCTTAGAGATATATTTGTACAGACCATCAAAGGTCGGTTGACATGATATTACATAAACTGCTGGTAAGTATGTGCAGACAACAATCCACACTGGGTTGCTATAGGAATATCTTTGTACAACAGTACAAGTTAGATACTTTTTCATTCGTATAGAATTATGTGTTGCAATGCGATACTGTACGATACTGCTCAATTGATATTCCCATAATAACAATATTATACTAATAAACTCGATAATAAACTATCACTGTGATTATTTATACCTTGAAGTACAATGTTCTATCAAGCTCAAACAGATTTTTTACTCCACTTGTTTATATGAAGAGTTGTATACTTGTAGGGTAAAATAATTCGACCAAAACACATTAATTGTTATTTGTGATCAAACTTTCATCTTACCTTGAAAAATATTTTCGATATTAATTTAACAGCCAGACGCAAGAAAAATATTTCGATAAACAGCCAGACATATTAAAATTTACAACAGGCAACGAGGCACATGTTTACAAATTGTAATCGTTCATGGTGGTGTTCGTGAGTCTCAACTAGGATATTCGGAAAGTCAAATCGCGATCTGGAGTATGTTATTTTCTAAAATTTCTGTGACGTCAAAATACGTCATAACTGATAATCCGTACGTACATGCAAAATCGAGTTCTCGTTCGGCTATACATAACTCGGCCAAAGAGACTGGACACAAGTGATCGCAATACTTCATGTTAAGAATAGTGTGCTGCCTTTGGCAGCAAATAGGAACAGTACGTGTTAGTGTAGCCTTGTAACCATGTAACTTTTTTTCACTTTTATTGCCTATAATTTCCCAATCAAACGACAAAATCTTATTTTGCTTCGGTAAATTTTACTAAATTTTTTTTAAGATTTATGGTCGAGCGTGGTTTGCTGATAAATTTCTAAATTAAAAGGCCGCTAGTTGTAATTATGTTTAAAATCTGAAAGGTTACTTCAGGCCTGGTACATGGTTATTCGTGTCATATATCCGCGAGAGTTGATGTACTACAGTAGCTTGCAGGGGTTGGTTATGTCATCATGTGATTGTTATTTCCCCAATCCGCAGCAAAAAAGCAAAAAATGCAAATGAAATCAATTCTCATCATCGTGCTCATCAACAATAGCATTTTACTCTAAAACAAACGCAACTATAAGGGTAAGCATTCTAGTACGTTATAGTGTATTACAAAATTGGCCCTGTCATATGTTAATGAAGGATGATGGTCGATCAAGAAAGGGCTCCCATATTTTTCAAGTAATAATATTAAGAAATATTCCTTATACTACACCCTTACGCTTTCTTCCTGCATTTGACGATGTCGCGCGGCAGCACACGTGTGTTAGCTTCTGTACAGGGTGTATATTAGCCTGCATGATGACGAACTTGTAATAATTGAAAAACTCACTGTTGAATTTGAATTTCAACACGAAGTTCTATTTGGAGATTGTTCCTTGCTTTATTTTAAAATATTCTCGAAGAACTCGAAGATATTCATGTATATGCACAAACTCTGCACCAACGCGGCTCTGTCTCTGATATTAAAAATGATAACAAAATAAAACCGTTTAATTTTTACTGCTGAAGGAAGCTGCAAACATACCAAGCTCACACACAATACAGAAATGATCACGAAAGATAACATATCTGAACACTGCCGGCGACGCAATTTTTTTTTCCGTAGACAGTCGGACTCCTCATTGATAGTCGGACGCATCATTAACCCGCGCCCTTAAACAAAACATTCAGCGGATACTCTTCTTATCAGATGCGCCTTCCCAGTGTGTCTTGCTTGGTTGATTTGTATTGCTTGGTTGAGATGTCAAAATCTAATTGTGGCTTCATATCTTGTGTGGTGATGGCATCTGACATATTTTATTAAGTTATATTCGCCATTCCCACCTGCTTTTCTGTATTTTTGTAACGGTTTTTTGTAACTCTTTTTGGAGCGATTGCAGAATACCCGTCCACTTTTAAGCTACACCTTTCAAACATTATGCATGAATGGATACGATGTACTTAACACATTTATAGTTATTCTCAATAGATTAATAATAAATAGATTGAAAGATTAAAATCCCATGTAAAGGTAGCTACGAGGCATACAGTGACTTAGCATTAACAAATTAAATTGTCATAGTGTTAAAGGTAAATTTATATCCTAGTGGATACGCGGATACGCAGTCAAGTATTTATTTTGCATGAGAACGAGCATTAGATCAAATTCTCATGCTATAGATAGCTCTCTAGTGCATACGCAGTCACTTAGTAATTAGTTTGTGTATATTAGCCGAACGAGGCAATAATATTTGGTATATATGTATCCAGTGAAATAGTGGCCGGGCTACATGATATGATATTACTATAGGGAACGGGTATTCTGCAATACTTCTATTTGTGGAAAATGGTCCTGATAGTCGCTTTGAATCTTCCAGTATTTCCTTGCACGCTAGTTCTGATTCTCTTCAATTGGGATGAACACAGTTTCAACTCGCAATAACAGTTCTTGAGTATTTTTGGAACCAGAAAAACAAAGTTTGTAGTTTACTACGATGGCAAATCGTTCATCTTTCAACAAGTGGTCGAAGAAGAACAACGTGGAGATCAGTGATGGATATATGGTGCACCAGTGGGTTACGCAGGGTACGAAGGGATCCATCGATAACGCGCGGAGGCCTGGACGCGGATCAATGATGCGTCCGACTATCAATGAGGAGTCCGACTGTCTACGGAAAAAAAATTTGCGCCGGCGACTGCCGCATGTAGACTAGTATTTCGATTCCAATGGAGCACACAAAATATGCGTACAGTCGTTTATAGTTTTGATCGAGTACACTGAATATGGGTACAGCCGTTTAAGTTTCGATCGAGTACGCTAAGAAAGCGTACAGCCGTTTACTTTTGATCGAATAACGCCTAAAAAGCATACATTCACAAATACTTGATCGAGTACGCATATTAAAATTCATTATTATTATACTTTTTGTATAAAGAGTACTGAGTACAGCCCTCGGAGAGTAAGCACGAAGAGCAGAAAGTCGTAATCTAATAATCATGATGACTATCAGTGTAATCTAATAATCATGATGACTATAATCATCATGATTATTAGATTACACTGATATCGAAGGAACTAGACTCAGTTCCGAAATATCACACACTCGAACCGACCTGACCGCGTAGCTCAGTTGGCAGAGCATTGGGCTAGTATTCCAAAGGTCGTAGGTTCGAATCCCTCCATGGCCAGGCATATTTTTCAAGCCTGCCCGGTGTGGATACACGCTCAGAGTAACATCGCAAGCATCAGATATAATATGTTTCAAAAGTAAATAATTTTTTTATGCGAAAGTACGTTTAATTTTTATAAAACTTGCCGAACGATTTGGAGTCTAATTTTGTATCGGTCGTATCTGCGCTTGCGCATGCAGATATATTGCTATTGCGTGTGTAAGATAATTTTACTGAGCTATACTATATTACTGCAACAAGGGCAGATTTCGTGCTCGACCAATCAGCGCAATTGTTTACATTTTCGCTCTCAGCTAATCATAATGCAGGAAACGAGAAATTTACACCAAGGCGAGCTAGAAAATTTTGCCGTCTTCTCGTGCTTCCGTGAGATTCAATTTTAACTTTTTTGATTTAAAACCAAAAAATTATGATGCAGCACATTAAAATCTAAAACTTTGCCGTGGGCATTTTTAAATTTCGACCTAGAACTGAAAATATCCATGTTTGAAATTTTTCCCTATGGCCCCTACGTCGCGTATACAAATTTGAGTAATCTAATTTGACTGCAATAAAACTAAAAAATGCTGTATTTTCTCTGCTTTTAAGTTTTTGTTGGAAAACTCTTTTTTGCTCAATGTTTTATATGAAAACGTAGACGATAACGCGTTTATAGCGCTTGATTTACTGAAAAATATAGTCGCATGCTCGCGATCATACGGGAAATCAATACAAAAATATTGTCCGACCAATTTTGCAGAAAATCAGACTCTCTAAACGCGTTATCTTCTAGGTTATGAAATAATATTTTGACCAAAATGATTCTCAACAACAGCGAAAAAGAGTTTTCCAACAAAAACGTAAAGCAGAGAAAATATAGCAATTTTTACTTTACTTTATTGCAGTCAAATTAGATTGCTCAAATTTGTATACGCGACATAGGGAAAAATTTCAAACACGGATATTTTCCGTTCTAGGTCGAAATTTAAAAATGCCCACGGCAAAGTTTTAGATTTTAATGTGCTACATCATAATCTTTTGGTTTTAAATTTAAAAAGTTAAAATTGAATCTCACGGAAGCCCGAGAAAACGGCAATATTTTCTAGCTCGCCTTGGTGTAAATTTCTCGTTTCCTGCATTATGATTAGCTGAGAGTGAAAATGTAAACAAATGCGCTGATTGGTCGAGCACGAAATCTGCCCTTGTTTATTACTGCAGGACCTGCTCAACATAAAAAGTGTCACCAAAAACATGGTGGATCTTACGCCATTTTTATGACAACACTAACTTTATTCTCATGGTAACTGCCACTGACCAACCGCGATCCTAAGCTTCCGACAATATCATTAACTCCTCTGGTTTTTGCATAAATTTTGTTGTTTTTGAGCTAAGAAATCTTATTATTTCCTTTGCACATTAGTTGTTTTACAACACGGTTGTTTTACTTGTAATTGTAGTTGTTTACACGTTTATAAATTTAATCTCGGATTTAGTGTTGTGAAATTTATATACTTGCCCATCAGAGCGTAGGATTAACATATATGGATAAGCACAAGGCCAGAAAGGGTTGAGTAGAGAAGGTCCACCTATACATGTGGCAATGGGCCCTGTTCCGATGAGCCCTAAAGACTGTCTTTATTATTTTACTCTGTTTGTCTAATGACAGATAATTTTAAGGGGAGACTGCTCACCGCTGCCACTCCCCTTAAAATCTGCCAATGAGCAACCCCTGAAATATAGTTAGCCCATTAAGCTGTAATGCTTCCAAACGGACCCTACTTCCTTATTCTACTCTGTGACATTTATTTGTCGACAAATCCTATTAATACAAGTATAAACTATATATGAGGATTTAGCTTACACATTACTGTACATCATAATTATATGAATTATATATCTAAATTTCTACATGTCAAATTGAAAAATTCCACCATATAATAACCTAGACATGTGCTTTAGAGGTGCTATTTTCAAAAATCAGCATCAATAATGCTGATAAAAAAATAAGGACAGACAAAATCAACTTAAAAATTTAAAAACTGTATTTTAATAATAAAATATATACATACAATTTATACACTTAATGCATAGCCTTGCCAGCCAGGTTCTTAATAATTAAAGTTGTAGTCTTTTTTATCCAATAATAAGCTTATTTTATTTAGCCCATTATAAGCTATAATTTATGTATCAAAAGGTTCCTGTCAATATTAAATGGACTTTAGGGAACTTTGGATCTTGCTAGAAAACTTCGCGACGGCAATTAATCAATACATAATATGAAATGAAAGATACATAAACACAAAGATTCTTCTTACAATTTCGTTTCCCTACTGGCAGCGGCAATCTACATAATTTTGCCAATCTTGTCTATCGAAGACGTATGAAAATTGACAAGAAAAGATGAAAGATGAATCACAATTCACACGCAAAAATTGGCTATTTATGACAGTGACACTATATTTATCAAACGCCCCCCCCCCCCCCAGATCATAAAGTTACAAATACGTGATCTCCAAGATTTGTGACGTCACGCAATCAGAGTTTGCCAGGGTCCCTCCTAGACTTGCTCCAAGTCTCTCTTTCTTGACCTTTCATTGTCATATAGTATCGATCCACTATAGTGTACATTACATGACGTAGCACGGAGAGGCGGAGGGAGAAAGAGAGACTTGTCAACTTCGGAAAATCTCTGTTCAAAACTGAACCGAAAAGGAAAGACTTGCTTTAATTGTTTTCCTTCAATTTCTTTCTGTATTATTTACTATAATGGAACTCAAGTTATTTACACTGTGCTAGATCAATACATATAAACACTGACAGAAAACAATTAAAGCAAGTCTTGCGTTTTCGGTTCAGTTTTGAACCGAGATTTTCCAAAGTTGACAAGTCTCTCTTTCTCGCTCCGCCCCCCCCCCCCGTACTACGTCATGTAATGTACACTATAGTGGATCGATACTATGTGACAATGAAAGAGAGACTTGGAGCAAGTCTAGGGTCCCTCCACGTACACCAGAACCTTTAAACACGGGGACCTTGGGTATGAGGTTGAATTTTGCATTGCTACACAAGTATATATGTGGTCCGAAAGAGCAGGACCTTTATTTGTCAGCATCAAGCAGGTTAATTGCAGGCTCGAAAATGAACCCTTAATTTAGAGTTGAACATTGTTGGAGGTTATTCTAATTGCCCCAGACGCCAGAATGTGCCTTACATTCAACCTGGGAACGAGGTTGGCTTGCCTTACGTTACGATCTTGTTCAGTCCAACAGAAATGAATAAACGGAACTTTAAGTCAATCACACTATACTGATCAACTCCAGATACAGAGAACAAAACACATGTATCCATGGTCTTTGTTCTGTAAAGCATGCAGGTGTGATTTCCTCTTTTAAGCACTCATCATGTTATTCATAAATAAGCCATTAAAAAATCTCAGACGTCTTCAACTTTGGACGGATTATGAAGTGCGTAAATATTGGCTCCATGCAGCTATATTTCCTCTATAGTTTGTCAAGGGAATAACATTTTCGTGTCGTATTTTGCCAGGTTTATATGAGTTTATAAACTTATTAGTTAAAAACACATACATGGAAATACACAAACTTTGTATTTTTACGAAAATGTTAATAATTATCTGGTCTAAGGAGAGAAATGGAAATACTTCAATACAAATTTTCGAAAACTTAAACTATCTCAATTAAAATATAGTTTCTGTTTAGTTTCTCGGGAGAAACGGCTCAGAAAATTGGTAAAATGAAATATAAATTTAATTTTATTTATTCATCATTATTACCCTCAGAAGTACCTTTTGAGTATTTCACAAATTCCATTGCTAATCACTATATCATGCAGGACTAATGGATACTATTTTTGCATTGCTACACAAGTATATGTGGTCCGAAAGAACAGGACCCTTAATGACGCCAGATAGTATTTGTCAGCATCACGCAGGTTAATTACAGGCTCGAAAATGAACCCTTAATTTAGAGTTGAACGAACATTGTTGGAGATTATCCTAATTGCCCCACCACGCCAGAATGTGCCTTACGTTCAACCTGGGAACAAGGTTGGCTTGCCTTACGTTACCATCTTGTTCAGTCCAACAGAAATGAATAAACGAAACTTTAAGTCAATCACACTATAGTCATCAACTCCAGATATACAGAACAAAACATTTGTATCTATGGTCTTTGTTTTGTAAAGCATGTGTGATTTCCTCTTTTAAGCACTCATCCTGTTATTCTTAAATAAACCATTGAAAAATCTCAGACGTCTTCAACCTTGGACGGATTATGAAGTGTGTAAATATCGGCTGCAAGTACCTATATTTCCTCTATATAGTTTGTCAGGGGAATAACATTTTTGTGTCGTATTTTGCCAGGTTTATATGAGTTTATAAACTTATTAGTTAAAAACACATACATGGAAATACACAAACTTTGTATTTTTGACAAAAATGTTAATAATTATCTGGTCTAAGGAGAGAAATGGAAATACTTCACTATGTGGTCCTAAAGAGCAGACCCTTACTGAGGTCAGATAGTATTTGTCAGCAACAAGCAGGTTAATTGCATGCAGGCTCGAAAATGAACCCTTAATTTAGAGTTGAACATTGTTGGAGGTTATTCTAATTGCCCCACAATTGGCTTGCCTTACGTTACCATCTTGTTCAGTCCAACAGAAATGAATAAACGAACTTTATGTCAATCACACTATAGTCATCAACTCCAGATATACAGAACAATCCAAGTTCTGTAAAGCAGGTGTGATTTCCTCTTTTAAGCACTCATCCTGTTATTCTTAACTAAACCATAGAAAAATCTGAAACGTCCTCAACCTTCGACGGATTATGAAGTGTGTAAATATCGGCTGCAAGCCCCTATATTTCCTCTATAGTTTGTCAAGGAAATAACATTTTTGTGTCGTATTTTGCCAGGTTTAGCCTATATGAGTTTATAAACTTATTAGTTAAAAACACATACATGGAAATACACAAACTTTGTATTTTTTACGAAAAT